ACAGTATAGGCCACACACGGCAAGGACTGGAAAATTTGTTAACCGGGCACGCTGGGGCATCCACCTCGGGATCGAAAAATAATACAAAGCGGTGATCGTACTGGACTACGCGACACACAAAGTGACGAAATCACGTGACTGCATCTTCCACGAAAAGTGACCCTGCCACTATTCAAGGAGCACGCGAAGTTGACAAGGCACCAGAAAGGGTTTTCGAGGGGCACCGGAGTTTCGCCACGTCACAGGATGAGGCAGACCTGGCAGAGGATGCAGAAGCAGCGGACAACACACCATCCGACCCACATCCAAATATCCCCCTTACAAGCCCACTCCAGACTCCAACCTTCATACCTCTTCATCAATTCGATCCCGACGATACAACTCGTGAAGCCCACAATTACAACAGCACAGCGCGCCGATCTCCGGATGCTGAGTTACCTCAATGCAATCCTTCGCAAGACACCATCCGCCCCGGTCATGAGAGCGACGATGACGTCGTCGAAGTTACCAGCTTCCACGACTACGACCGGCTCCACTACGAAAAGATCAACGAATCTGGCCTCCGCATCCTTGGGCTCGCAGTCGCTGTTCGCCACACCTCCCCCAAGGAACCCACCACCGTCCGTTAGGCCCTGTCTGGACCCGACAGTGAGAAATGGAAGGCAGCCATGGCGGCAGAAGTTGCGGCACCGAAGAGTCGCGGAACGTGGAAGCTGGTTCCACGCTCATCCACAAAGGGGAGAAAAAATCTTAGCGGCAAATGGGTTTTCCAAATCTAAACGCTCGCGGATGGTTCCATAGACAAGTAGAAAGCGAGATGGGTGGTACGCGGCTTCGAACAAACTCATATGGTGGACTACGATCTTACCTTCGCGCCTGTCGGAAGACACACCTTAGTGCGAATCCTCATCTGTATCACAACCGTCAAGCAGTGTCCACTCCGACAGATAGATGTCGGCAGTGCATTCATGTACGCACCCGTTGACGCCATCATCTTCGTTGAACAACCACACGCCTTCAAAGAAAGCGACAGCGTTGTCTGCCTTCTCCAAAAATCCCTTTATGGGATCAAACAAGCACCTTGTCTGTGGCAGCAGTATCTGCACACCGTCCTCACGGAGCTCGGATTTGCTCAACTACCACATAACCTTGGGATGTACAGGAAGGAGTCACGTGGAAAACTCATTCTTCTCGTCGCCTACGTCGACGACCTGCTCTACACCGGCGACGACACGGAGCTGCTGGACTGGTTTGAGGTAGAAATCAAGGAGAAGCTCGAAGTAACGATCAACCACAACGTCACACAGTTCCTGGGTCTCAATAACCCAGTCCGACATCTCCATTCATCTCTCCGCCGCCAAATACGAGGAAACGCTCGCGAGAAAATTCGTCATCACACCAATTAACCTCACCACTCCCTTCCGCACTCCTCCTCCTAATCACGAGCCCGATACCACGCAGCTCTCCGTCAAAGATCATCGGCTCTATCAACAGCAGATAGGGTGCCTCCTATTCGCTGACGTCACGTGCCGGCCGGATCTCTCCTACGTCGCAAGCCAGCTCGCACAGTACCCGAAGCAACCTGAAGGGGAGAATCTACAAGATCTACGCCGAGCACTTCAATAATTCATCTCTACCCCTGACGTCGGACTCACCTACGAAGCCAACCTAACTGCTACCCTGCAGCTTCATGGCTACGTAGCCGCAGACCACGCAGGAGACATTTGTGGAGAGTCACTCTACAACGGTAGTGAGCTAGACTACGGGGGTTGGCACGAACTACTAGGAGTGATCGTAACTTTGCTTGGTTCCTTAGTGCTTACACATTCACGGGAGAAATCGGCAAGAGTTTCCACTAGCAAAGTTGGAATTCCATAATGATTCAACAAGCAATGACAGAATGACTACATCAGGCACCTAGCAACCCTGCAGCTAGCCTGGTCGACCGCCAGCACAGCCCGGTCGACCGCCTACCAGCGTTGCGTAGAGGAGCCGCGCCAGCACTGCAGAAGGGCGACCTGCCAACAGAGCAGGTCGACGGCGTGCCAACGCTGCAGCAGAGCGGTTGTCCAGCGTTGCCCCGTAGAACACAGCAGTGCGCACGCTCGCAGGTGCACGCAGAAGATTGGCCCGACTTGCTTTGTTGGGTATCCGTCGGCTGTTGTCTGCGCCTGACAAGCCACATCGACTTCGGGATACCAGCCCGCAGTCGTCTTCGCCATCGCAACCTCGACAACGTTCGCGTGCCTCCGCAGAACTCGTCGAGCAGGTTACCCGGTCGACACCGATCGACCACCAGGTGCTTCCGGTCGACCACCACTGCTTCTGGTCGACCACCAGGTCCCTTTGGTCGACCACCAGGTGCCTCCGGTTGACCAAAACTCCCGTCGAGCTACCCTCTGGTCGACGGAAGGGATCCGTTGACCAGAACCGTCAGCGGTTGTCGCCGAGCTCCCCTCGTCGACCGCTGCTCACTTGCCAGGTCGACGGACCGCTCCGTCGACCTCCCGGTCGAACTGCAGGTCGACGGGATGCCCCAGAGACCTCCTGGTCGAGCTGTAGGTCGACGGGATGCTCCGGAGACCTCCCGGTCGAGCTGCAGGTCGACGGGATGCTCCGGAGACCTCCCGGTCGAGCTGCAGGTCGACGGAGACCCCCTGGTCGAGCTGCAAACCGACGGAGACCTCCCGGTCGAGCTGCAGGTCGACGGAGACCCCCTGGTCGAGCTGCAAACCGACGGAGACCTCCTTGTCGAGCTGCAGGTCGGCGGAGACCCCCTGGTCGAGCTGCAGGTCGACGGAGGCCTCCCGGTCGAACTGCCCCTCTTGGCCGACGGCCCACCCGTCGCCCAGACCAGTCAGTTGCAACTGTCGAGCTCCCTGGTCGATAGCAGCACCACAGTGGTCCCCTGCAGCTCGACAAAGCCTGTCGAGCAGCTCTCCCACTATAACGGTCGGCTGCTACTCCCGTACATCCGACCAAGTCGTCAGCGTTGCCCAAGCGAGGGCGGGGCCAACACTCCATTCCCGTTAACACTCCCCTGCCGCGCTCACGCTTGGGCGTCCAGCCCACACGGCAGTACTCCACGGAGAAAACTCGTCCTCGGCGTGCACCCCACACGCAGCACGCCGTCACCGCACCAGCCGTGCAGAAGGGCACGTCACCTACTGCTGCACCTCGTCGTCGCCGTCGCCGACGTCGGCCAAACGAACTTGGCCGATGGCGACAGAGCACCGGTTGAAAGCCGGAAAATGCAGCGCCTTCGTCAGGAAGTCCGCCGGCAGCTCGGTGGTCGGGATGTACTTCAGCACAAAGTTCCCGCGCCTCACCATGTGCTGCAGCCAAGCGTAGCGTCGCTCCATGTGCTTGAGGTTGCCCGTCAGCCCCAAGCCCTCAGCGATCGTGATTGCCGACTTGTTGTCGACGCGGAGGATGGTCGGCTTCCCAGCGTCGAGCAGCTTGAATTCCGCAAGGAGGAAGCGAAGTCGACGCCCCTCCTTGCCGGCATCCGTGGCCGCCACGTACTCCGACTCGGTCGATGACAATGTCGCACACTTGATGCGCGAGCTCGACCAGGAGACGGCGGCCCCTCCGTAGATGAACACGTAGCCTCCCGTGCTCGTCCGGTTATGCTTGTCGCCCGCGTCGTCGGCATCGACGTAGCCGATCAGCTCCAACGATTCTGGTCCACCGCCGAACTCCAGGGCGGTGTCGCGGGTGTCGGTGGAGGTAGGCGAGACAGCGGTCGACCTCGCGCCAATGCTGGTCGCTCCTCACTGTGAGGCCGCTCCCCAGCTTGCTGCAGGCGAACACGATGTCCGGCCTCGTCATCGTCGCCGCGAACTGCAGCGAGCCGACCTTCTGCCGGTATTCCTCCTCTTCGCGCTCTTGAGCCTCCTCGTTGTCGAACGTCAGCTGAGCGTAGGCGTCGACCGAGACCGGCGTCTTCGGAACTTGACCGCCCTGCTCCTCGTCGATGAAGCGCCTGCGCAGCTTGTCGGCGTAGCCCTGTTGGTGCAGCCACAGCTTCCTGGCCGGCCTGTCGCGCACGATCTCCAGCCCAAGGTACTTCACCACCGGCGAGATCTCACGCAGCTCGAAGGCAGCCTCCAGCAGCTCCTTCAGCTCCTTCAGCATCGCGATGCTGCTGCTGGCGGTGAGCAGGTCGTCGACGTAGACCAGCACCCAGCAGGTCACTCCGTCGCCGCCGGTCTTGAAGTAGAGCGCCTCGTCGACCTGACTCTTCTTCCAGCCAGCGCCCAGCAGCACTCCGTCGAGAGCCCTGTACCACAGCAGCGGCGACTGCTTCAGCCCGTAGAGGCTCTTCATTAGCTTACACACCCAGCCGGTCCCATCGTCGAATTAGTCCGGCTGATACATGTAGAGCACACTGTCGAGCTTGCTCTGCAAGAAAGCGTTCTTCATGTCGAGCTGCATCAGGTTGAGGTCGAGGACGGCGACGATGCTGACGAAGATCCTCAGCGTGACGTAGCTGCTCACCGGCGAGTACGTCTCGTCATAGTTGTCACAATAGATTTATATCTATTTAGTATAATCTGTCTGTAGTGTAGCTGTTGTGTAATTCCCTTGTGTGGTGGTGCACCTCTTTCACCTTTGTTAGGTTACTATATGTACTCGTGTGCTATAGTGAACTTAAAACACATTCTCACTTTCGCTTGGCACAAACTACTCGATACCCGTTTGGCCTAGGCTACTAAGCCTAGTCCCTTAGTTAAACCCGTTCCTAGCTAAGACGCTATCGTAACATGGTATTGAGCTAGCAAGTTCCTAGCCTGTACAATTTTATGGGCCCACCAACCCGTACTTCGTCACCCGTCGCACGTCGCCCGTACGCCCCGTTGCTTGCCGTCGCTCGGACCCCCGCAGTTCCCTCGTTTCGCGCCCCGAAGGCCCCCTATTTCGCGCCCCGGATGCCCCCCCGATTCGCGCCCCGGATGCCCTCCGATTCGCGCCCCGAAGGTCCCTGTTTCGCGCCCCGAATGCCCCCGAATTCGCACCCCGAATACCCCCCGTTTCGCGTCCCACAAGGTCTTCGCGGCCCCTCGATCCCGTCGCCCCGCTTCCCGTCGCCCCGCTTCCCGTCGCCCCGGCTCCCTGTAGCTCGCTGCCGCTCCTTAGCCCGTCACATTACCCGCGCCCCATGCCCGTGGAGTGGCGGTGGAACGCCAGCGACGACCGCCAGCGCACCAGCGATCCCACGTCACCTGCTGCTGCAACCCGTCGCCCGCGCGCTGCCCGTTCCTGCAGCCTACCGCTCGCGCCGCCGCCCGCCCGAAAACTTCCTCCTCCCCCCACCCCCCCCCCCCCCCCGTCGCCCCCACCCACGCTCCCGCCAGCTCTTGCCGCGCTTGCGACTGCTACCGTGCTAGCTCGAGGTGGTGGGGGTGGCGGCCAGTGGGGAAGGAGTGGGTGTGGAGGCGGAGGTGGTGGGCTGTTGGGGGGAGGGTAAGGGGGTGCAAAGAAGGATTCTGCGGCCTCAACCGCCTCCTTCTCCTCTCCCTCTCAGTCTCGCATCTGCTATTGTGGGGGGAGGATGAAGGTGTGTGGGAGTGGAACTGCACCCCCATCCGCTGCCACCACACCTCCTCCTCGTTCTCTCTGCCGCTACTACTGCTGTGGGAGAGAGGTTCAGGGGGTGTGGGTGGTGAGAGTTCAACTGCAGCATCATCCGCCTCCTCCTCCTCTCATCCCTTGCTGCCCGTGCCTTGCTGTCCACCCGTGATTCTGCCCGTGATTCTGCCCGTACTGCTGCCCGTGATTGTGCCCGTGATCATACCCGTGTGCTGCCCGTATTTTGGCCGTGTTCTGCCCGTGATCCTGACCGTGATTCTGCCTGTGATTCTGCCCGTGTTGTCGCCCGTGATTTTGCCCGTGATTCTGCCTGTGATCCTGCCCGTGTTGCTGCTCGTTCCCGTGCCATACTGCCCGTGCCCACCCGTGTCTCCTGTTGCTGCCCGTGTTCTACCCGCGCCCAGTGTCCCCCGTTCTGCCCGTGCTGCCTGTTCTGCCCGTGCTGCCCCGTTGTGCCCGTGTTGCCCCGTTCAGCCCTTGTCCTGCCCCGTTCTTCCTGTGCAGCCCCGTTGTCCCCGTGTTGCCCCGTTCTGCCCGTGTTGCCCCGTTCAGCCCGTGTCCTGCCCCGTTCGGCCCGTGTTCTGCCTGTTCTGCCCGTGCTGCCCCATTGTGCCCGTGTTGCCCGTTCAGTTTTGTCCTGCCCCGTTCTTCCTGTGTAGCCCCGTTGTCTGCGTGTTGCCCCGTTCTGCCCGTGTTGCCCCGTTCAGCCCGTGTCCTGCCCCGTTCGGCCCGTGTTCTGCCCTGTTCTGCCCGTGTTGCCCCGTTCAGCCCGTGTCCTGCCCCGTTCAGCCCGTGTTCTGCCCTGTTCTGCCCGTGTTGCCCCGTTCAGCCCGTGTCCTGCCCCGTTCTGCCCGAGTTGCCCCGTTCAGCCCGTGTCCTGCCCCGTTCTGCCCGTGTTGCCCTGTTCTGCCCGTGCTGCCCCGTTCTGCCCATTTGTGCCCTACCCGTGCTGTCCGTACCCGTTCGTGCCCCACCCGGTCTGTGCTGCCCGGTCTCGTGCTGCTCGTCACCCCCGTGCGGCCCATCTTGTACAGCACCTAGTTGCTACCCGAACCTGCTACCCGTACCCGTGCTCCTCGCACACCGTGCACCAGCTGCTGGGCGTTCAACCGCAGCCGGGCACCTGTTTCATCCCGGTGTGTGCACTTCGGGCATCCCAGTGCGGGGGGGTGTCAGAGGTCCACTGGTGATCCCCGATTGATCCTAGGGAAGGGTTACAGGCTCGTTGTCATGGGGGGTTATGGGCGCACCGACCCGCTACTTACAAGCCCTTTTATCCCAATGGTCTAGTGGTTAGGATTCTGACATGGTATCAGAGCGAAAGTCTCGGGTACGAATCCCAGTGTGTGCACTTCGGGCATCCCAGTGCGGGGGGGTGTCAAAGGTCCACTGGTGATCCCCGATTGATCCTAGGGAAGGGTTACAGGCTCGTTGTCCTGGGGGGTTATGGGCGCGCTGACCCGCTACTTAACAAGCCCTTTTATCCCAATGGTCTAGTGGTTGGGATTCTGACAATAGTCGGCACCCTACACCTGCGTGAAGCCCTTCACGACCAGCCTCGCCTTCTCGTGCTCGACGGTGTCGTGGATGCGGTACTTGGTCGTCAGCACCCACCGGTTTTTCATGATGTTCACCTCACGTGGGCGTTCAACCAGCTCCCAAGTGCCCATGCCGATGAGGCTGCGAATCTCTTCTTCCATGGCGGCCTTCACCGCCTCGCCCTTCCAGCTCAACGGCGCCTCCTTCACCGTCATCGTGGCGATGTCCCAGCGGTGTTCGGGGTCGGCATGCATGTCGGGGTCGAGCTCCGGCAGGTCTTCATCCTCCTCGGCGTCGTCGTACAACAGGTCGTCGTTGACCTCGTCGAACACCGTGGTGAAGGCAGCTGGCGGTAGGCAGGCGTGGAAGCTCAGCCGCTCCGGTGGCCGTCGAGCTCGACCTGTGCGTCGCAGCTCAGGCTTCGTGATCGGCACTTCCACCACGTCGCTTTCGGTGGACTCCTCACCCACCGACTGCTCCCCTTCCTCGTTGACGTCCTCGTCGTCGACCAGCTGCTTCGACCCGTCGACCGGCTGCTCGTCTGCTGCTGACTTCGACAGCTCCCCTGTCGACCGCCCTGGCTGCTGCTCCCCTGTCGGCTGCACCGCTGCTGTTGCCTCCTGTTCGGCCGGCTCCCCTGTCTGTTGCTCCCCTGTCGCCGACGGCTTCCCATCCTAGTCGACGAGCTTGGCGCCTTGTCGACCGCCGGCGATGCCATGGGCCGGCGCCACAGGCGACGCCTCAAGGCTCCCCTCATCGTCGGTGGTCGACACAGGTGCCGACCCAGGCCGATCTGCGACGGGGAACGGAGGAGCAAGGACAGGGGGAGAGGGAAGAACCTCCACAACATCCTCAACAGCAGGCTTGTCGACTTCGGCGAGCAACAGAATCGTCGCCGTCGAGGTGTCCGTCGGCGGGTGCGCCTGCGTCCGCTCCGACGCCGGCCCATACTTTGCCTTCCACACCTCAAGCGACAGCGTCTCGTAGAAGATCACCTCGACCGACGTGACCACCTTGTTGTCGGTCACGTCGAGCACCTCCCAGCCCTTGCTCTCCGGCGACACACCCAGGTGAAGCCCCCAGCGAGCCTTTGGCGCCAGCTTCCCACCACGCTGCTGCTCAGGAACCATGAACTGCACCATGCAGCCCCACACCCGCGCCAGCGTGAGGTCGGGCTTCGTCCCGGTCTGCAGCTGGTACGGAGTCGTCCCCGGCGGCGTCGTCGACCGCTCCAAGCAGTTGCGCACCCAGACCGCCTGTCGAAGAGCAAGGTGCCACCAGTGATGCTGTACGCCCAGGACTCGACGACCGTGCGCATCTCCCGCTCAGCCATCCCATTCTGCTGCGGAGTGTAGGGGCACGTCAGGTCATGGACGATGCCCTTCCCGTCGACGAAGTCGGTGAACGCCTTGCCGAGGAACTCCCCTCCTCGATCGGAGCAAAGCGACAGCACTGACTTCTTCGTCTGTCGTTCCACAAGCACCAGCCACTTCTCGAACTCTCGCAGCACGTCGCTCTTCTTAGCGACAGGCATTACCCACACGAACCGAGTATGGCGATCCTTCAGCAGTAGGAAGTACAAGCTGCCATCCTTGGTAGCCACCCGAAGTGGCCCGCACAAGTCAATGTGCACGACAACCAATGCTTCCTCGGCGTCCGAGCCCTTGTCGGGGAAGGTGTGCCGCGCCAGCTTCCCTCCGACGCACGAGACACACGGCGGATCTGCTCCGGTCGACGGCGTGATGTCGAGCCCAACGGCAACTTCATGCTTCGCCGAGCTCTTGATCGTGTCGACGCCGTCGTGCGCGAGCCTCGCATGCAACAGGGCAGTGGTCGTCTTTGTCGCCGAGACGATCGTCCGCAGAGCCACCACATCGGTCGACGGCGAATGCGTCGAGCAGGGGCGAAGGTCGGTGCAGAGAACACGTCCGGTGTAGCGTGCTTGACCGAGCACCTCCCCGGTCGCGGTGACGAGCAGCATCTCGTCGCCGTCGCCCTGCAGCTACACTCCACTCTCCTTCAGTTTGCCGGCTGACAGCAGGTTCGCTTGAACGCCCGGAACGTAGAGCACGTCGGCGATGAGGACCCGCTTCCCGGCCTCCCCCTGTAGAGCGACGGTTCCGCGACCCTCGACAGGCTGCAGTGCCCCGTTGAATCCACGCACATGCTTCACACCGTCGCTTGGCCCCATGTCGATGAAGACCGCCTTCGTCCCCATCAGGTGGTGGGAGCATCCGCTGTCGAGCAGCACCGCCATCGGGTTGGCCTGCACTGCTGCCGCCACCGCCTGGAAGTCCTCGCCAGCCTCCGGCGCCAGCGAGACCGTCAGCTCCACCACGCCGACCATCGAGCACGACGCCTCCCCGTCGCCTCGGCTCTTGCCGCTGGAGCTGTCGACGTCCTTCGTCGACGACGTCTTCTTCGATGCTTGCTTCTCCTTGCGCGACTTCTCATCTCGACGGGGGCGACGACTGGCCGATCGACCACGGCCTCCCTTGTTGTCGTCCTCGTCGCTGTCATCGCGGTCGGGGCACTCGAAGGATAGATAATCGGGGTCGCCGCAGAACCAGCACTCCCGCCGTCGACCACCACCACCTCGTCGACCCTTGTCCCGCGTCGACCGCTTCTCGTCGACGTCCTTCGTCGACCGCCCACCTCCGCTACCACCTCCGCCCGGCTTCCTGCGCTGCCCTTGCTGTTGATTCAGCTTCGTCGGTGCAGCGTAGTTTGCCTACGGAAGGTCGTCTGTGGGCTGTTCGGCATCCTGCATCGCCTCATCTTGAAGAATGTAGTTGGTGATGGAGTCCTCATCGAGGGACTCACGCGTGTCGGGCACCATCATCATCCTCTTCATGAGATTGTAGCTGCGCGGCAAGCCCTTGACGATGTGGGTGATGTAGGACGCCGTCGAGTACTCGGCGCCCGCCATCCGCATCTCAGCCAGGATCCGTCGAGCACGGTTGCAATAATCCGTCGCCGACTCCTGCTCGCCTATCCGAATGTGAGTCATCTTCTCCTCCAACTGCCCGATGTACAAGTCGTCCCTGACCTAGTACGTCGACATGATGAAGTGCCATGCCTGGTGACCAGCATCCAGTCGCTCTCGACAGCTCCTAAGCGCCAGCTGCACCACCGGCGAGCAGCACCTCGAGATGATCATGAAGGTGAGCAAGTGAGCCGCTCGAAAGTCCCCGCGCAGCTCGACATCGTCCACGGGCGGAATTGGCACTGTGCCGTCGGCGAAGCCCTTCAGCCCGGCGACCTCCAGCTGAGGTTCGATCGACTCCCTCCAGGTGATGAGGTCCCGTCGACCTTGCAGCGTTGCGACGGTGATCCGGTCCGGCGAGAACTTGAAGTAGCCATACGCCGGTGCAATCCCGCCTGCCGTCACATGCGTCGTCGCCGAGAGGAGAGCGACGTCGAACATCGACGTCGACACGCGAGCTGCCTGCAGCCGCCGTCGACCGCTGCACTCGGGCCTGGATTCCGTCGACACCACCGTCGACCTTGAACACCCCTCTCTGCCTCGTGCCTTCGCTGCCGCTGACTCGTGCACCACCGTCGACCTCGTCGTCGACGCCACCCTCGTTGCGCACCGGTCGAGGAGATGCAGGACGGGATGGGTGTTCCGTCGCCCACTGCGACCGGATGCCCAACTCGACGATCAGCAAGGGGATCGTCCCGTACTCGCCATTTGCGTGGCGTTTCGTCGCATCAGCCAAGCGTGTCTCCAAGGTGTCCGCTACACCCGCATCAATTACGGGGTCAACCATGGTGACTATCGCTGCTGTCGGCCTACGAACAACTTAGTAGGTGCAAAAGTCGGCTCCTATCTGAAGGTCGCGTGTTCGTTCCACGCTCACCGCACCATGTGGAGAGTCACTCTACAACGGTAGTGAGCTAGACTACGGGGGTTGGCACGAACTACTAGGAGTGATCGTAGCTTTGCTTGGTTCCTTAGTGCTTGCACATTCATGGGAGAAATCGGCAAGAGTTTCCACTAGCAAAGTTGGAATTCCAGAATGATTCAACAAGCAATGACAGAATGACTACATCAGGCACCTAACAACCCTGCAGCTAGCCTGGTCGACCGCCAGCACAGCCCGGTCGACCGCCTGCCAGCGTTGCGTAGAGGAGCCGCGCTAGCACTGCAGAAGGGCGACCTGCCAACAGAGCAGGTCGACGGCGTGCCAACGCTGCAGCAGAGCGGCTGTCCAACGTTGCCCCGTAGAACACAGCAGTGCGCACGCTCGCAGGTGCACGCAGACGATTGGCCCGACTTGCTTCGTTGGGTATCCGTCGGCTGTTGTCTGCGCCTGACAAGCCACATCGACTTCGGGATACCAGCCCGCAGTCGTCTTCGCCATCGCGACCTCGACGACGTTCGCGTGCCTCCGCAGAACTCGTCGAGCAGGTTACCCGGTCGACACCGATCGACCACCAGGTGCTTCCGGTCGACCACCACTGCTTCTGGTCGACCACGAGGTCCCTTTGGTCGACAA